AACTTCAGTTGACCTGGAGGATTTCATTTTCCTTTCCTCAAGGTAATTAGATCACAGAAAGACAAAAAAAATGCAAAATTACATAGACAAATACCATAAGCAAGAGGATTGGAATCATTTGCTAATAAAAATATATAAAACCAATATTTCTTATTTAAAAAATGGGTGATGAAGAGCCCACGCATTATTGACAGTGATAGCCAATCCACTTGCTTTGACTCATCGCTTCTCCCCATGCTCTTTGACTAAAAAATGGTTTGGGATTTGATAATCAATAAATCTCGAACAATGATGTTAAAAAATGTCGGATTATATTTCATACATCACGGTCAGTGGGTGAAATATTTATCAATCAATCAATTGATATACTCGACTCGAAAACAACGTGGGTCACTAGTCGCAACTTAATTGATTTTAATGTTTTCTTGGCCCAAATTCACTTAAAGGCTTCCTTGTATCTTGGCTCATTACTTTGTGTCTTGGCCCAATCTTTGTGTCCTAGCCCAAATTGAAATTATACTTTAAGCTATATATATCCTCTTCCTTTGCAAGAAGTCGTGTGTTTGCCCCCTCGTGTGAGAAGAGAGAAAATGTGTCTGCTCCTTGTGACATCCTTCGAGTTCTTGCCTATTCTTGTCTTCTCTTTGCATTTGTGGCTTGCAATCACCACCATATTGTTGTTCCTCTGTGGGTGAGAAATGAGGAATTGAGCCGTAAGTGGATTGAGTTGTAGATTTGAAGTTTTTGTTGGTTAATATGTTGATTGGTAAGTTTAATTTAAGCCTAGAATCCATCTATTGAAAATTCATTTCGCAAAATTTGGTATCAGAGCAAGATTGTTGGTGGATTTCTAACCCAAAAACAATCAGAAATTGTCTGAAAATTGGCAAAAAGATCGAACCAGAAATTGTCCAATTTTTTCAATTTGGTACCGGATCTATTTGGGTGTTTTTCGATGAAACTACTTGCCTTTTAGACAAACCAAGACCATTGACGTTTTCAGCAGACCGAGGCGCACCAGGGTGGGTGACACGTGATCAAAGCTATGGTGCGCGGACCTCTTTCTACGACGGTCTCTTCTGGCAATTTCCTCCGGACGACGACACAGACCCTGCAGTGGTGTTCATTTTCAGTTTTAAGTGGTGCTATAAAACCTGGACGATTTTGCCCCTGCGTGTTCAAGATCCAATTTTGCTCAATTTGTTACTGTTGACTTTGGGGTATATAGTGACTACCCTAAAATAATAAATTCGTGGTTCTCGTAATTTATGGACTCAAATTGATCCGCTCTAGTATATTGGCTTATCTCAATTTAAATTTCAGCATTAATGCGTCATCGTGTGGGGTGACAATCGGATTGTGGTTACTATGAAGAGGTAACATTGTCTGTGCTAGAAATTTAGGAGTTATTTGCCATATTTGAAGTATTGAGTTTTGATCATAAGTTCATAATTTTTGTGCTCTAACTGTCATTCAGTCACTTTGTGAGACTGTGTTGCATGAAAATTCGAACTTTTATTTACATACCTTCCTGTTACATTTATTAACCTATTAGAACACCTAAACTTGACCAATTTGAACATTTCCTTGATCGATGATCGTGAATCTTATGAAACCCTAAGAATCTAGAATGGTGTATATTACAGTCTTAAGATTACTTCATGTGACCTATATGCGCATTTGATTGTTCTGTTTTCTTAAAAATGTTTTCACACTTTGAAGTTGAAATTTTTAATAGGAAATGAAATTTTTCAATTTGGCAACAAAAGTGAAGGGTATTTTGGTCCAACAAAAAGTTTTAAAAACCATAGGTGGTAAATTTCCTGCAAACTTAACAGAAACATAAAAAGAAGAGTATGATGAACTTGCTTTCTCTTCAATTATTTTACACCTATCTGATACTATTTTGAGAAAAGTTGAAAAACTTGATTCTACAAAAGAATTTTGGGAAAAGTTGAAGGACTTATATTTGTTTAAGTTTACTCCTCATAAATTATACTCGCTTAAAAGATTTTTCAATTTTAGAATGGATCATTCAAAGGATCTTGACAACAAATTGTATGTCTTTAACAAATTAGTTCAAGACATTGTTAATTGTGATGAAAAGGTTTCTAAAACATTTAAGGCTATTATCTTGCTTAATTCCATGTGTGATTCATATGGAGAGGTTAAAAATGCAATTAAGTATGGTAAGGATACCTTAACACTCGAAATTGTTATAGACTCACTTAAGAGTAAGGAGATAGAGACTAAGGCAGAGAAAGAGGATAAGAGGAGTAGAGAGTTACATATAATGAGGAATAGGATAAAGTTTAAGTAAATGAATTTGGGTAGAACTCAAGACAGTAGTGACTCAAGTGATGATGATAGTAAGAAGAAGGGCAAAGGACGGGACAAGTCTAGTGTAGACAGTGTTATAGTTGTAGTAAGTCTAGACATTTTATTAGGGACCATCTCAAGAAGAAGGATAAGCAGAAGGGTAAGATGAGAGGTAAGGCGAATCTGGCTTTAGGTTCGAGTGATGACCTTAATGAGGTTTATTGAGAGTAAACCTAATTACTGCATGTGCATCTGTGTGTGATTTTTTCTGCATCTGTGTGACTACCTAATTCTTGTTGGATGATTATATGTTGCATTTCAATGTGTTTGATATGTGCATTTGCATGAATTTGAAGCAATATGATTACTTGGTATAATTGCTTCCATGCATAGTGGGTTACGATGCATTAGCAGTGTATTATATGTCTTTTTGGTGAGGTAGAGTATAGATGGTCAGGAGTACATTGTGGTTTGTACCGGGGATGTAGAGTGTGATATTTGTATCACACGTGGAGATGAGATTAAATGTCTAGAATCCTTTATCTGTAAAGAGACCTTGATTAGGTAGAGTGTGAGATGGGCATTTCTATCACTTCTGTTAGGTAGAGGCCTATTATCCACGTAAGTTGAGAGAAGTGATGTGGTGATAGAGAATTATCCCGTGGACTTAGGATCTATTGTGGCTTACTAATTAGACATGAGTTGAGTGATCAATCTAGTAAGCATGGTGGGCGATGAGAGAATATGTGTTATTGAGGTGTGAGCAACACGGAATGGGATATGATAAGTGTGTTCAGACGTTTTTAGGGTCATCTATGCATTTGTTGCATATGTGTTTGAATATGTGTTTGATTGACTTGAAGTTAATCTGTGATTCTCTGTGAACGTGCTTCTGAAAATATCTATATTTGTTATCCCATAATATATCATCATCGCATGCTTACTCTTGATTGACTACTATGGATATTTAGGTTCTACTTGGGTGTCTTGACCTTAGCCCCAGTGAATACATGGAGTATGTATGATACGTATTTCAACTTGGAAATACGAGATAAGGTCTATGATTCAATTTTATTGGTTACTTTAATTATGCAAGTACTAACTGTGTGTTTTAATTGCTTATAGATTTATTGAGCATCAAGATGGAGATTGTTGGATTTTGATACTCAATAAATCCCGGGCAATGATATTAAACAGTGTCGAATTATATTTTATAGGCCGCAGTTGATGAGTGAAGTATTTATCAACCAATCAATTGATATACTTGACCCAAAAACAACGTATGCCTCTAATTGCAACTTAATTGGTTTTAATGTTGCCTTGGCCCAAATTCACTTATAAGAGGGCTTCCTTGTATCTTGGCTCATTACTTTGTGTCTTGGCCCAATCTTTGTGTCTTAACCGAAATTGAAATTATACCTAAAGCTATATATATCATCTTTCCTTTGCAAAAAGTCATGTATTTGCCCCCTTCTGTGAGAAGAGAGAAAACATAGCTGCCCCTTGTGACCTCCTTTTAGTTCTTGCCTATTCTTGTCTTATCTTTGCCTTTGTGGCTTGCAATCACCACCATATTGGTGTCCCTTTGTAGGTGAGAAAAAAGAAATGCAACCATAAGTGGATCTCGAGTTGTGGGTTTGAAGTTTTGGTTGGTTGATATATTGATTGGTAAGTTTAATCTGAGCCCGAAATCCATCGATTGAAGATTCATTTTGCAACATGGTCCAAATTAACATATTAAAGAGTGAAAACTATCATTATACTGTCCACTAGTGCCTTGTATTATTACAATTTTCCATGGCTTTGAACTAATGTAGTACCAGATGGGACTCCTGTGATAATGTCTGCAATTATCGAATTTGTAGCAATTTTTCATTTGGGTTCTTCTTTTATACCTTTATGTTCTGTGTCATGCATTAATATACCACCCAAATTGATCAGAAACATGCTGAAGACACAGAGTTAAATGGCAGGCACGATCAAGTTCAATGACTGAATGAGCCAAGCAACCGATCAAGTCAATTCGGAAACTAAGTTGGTTTGCCAATGATTTTAGATACAAAGCCAGCCAAACCAAGGGATCATGAGAAAGATTCTGAAAAGTTACGATCGAAGAGAGAGAGACAACTTAGAGGTGGTTGAATAGGCTCTACAGTAGCGGCCCTGACTTTAGGTGGAGTAAGTAATTGCCTAAGGCCCCGCTTTGACGAGAACCCAAAATTCTGTAAAATTAATTGGCTAGTCGAAGAAAAACGAAAATTATATTAGTGAAATTACTTAAAATAGAATTGTCATATGTAAACACAAGAAATTAATAAAAATTAAAGATGAATTTTAAAAAAAAAACGTATAAATGACATAAAACTTATACTTACATTTATTTATCGTATAAATATATCACGATCATAACTTTCTCTCTCTATATAACTAATTTGACCATTTATCTTCCAAACATACCTTTTCTTTTTCTTAAAAGACAAAAAAGATAAAACTTATTCTTACATTTATTTATCGTATAAATATATCACGATCATAAATTTCTCTCTCTATATAACTAATTTGACCATTTATCTTCCAAACATACCTTTTCTTTTTCTTAAAAGACAAAAAAGATAAAACTTATTCTTACATTTATTTATCGTATAAATATATCACGATCATAAATTTCTCTCTCTATATAACTAATTTGACAATTTATCTTCCAAACATCCAGGTCTCCTTCTTCCAGGCTGGTTTTGCTTCACACCATAACTGGTTTGTGCCTTAAATTTTCCTTTAACAAATAAGGCTCCTTCTACCTGTTCCTCTTGCCTCATCAGACATCTTTGTTCAGTGGCTTGCAATGCATTAACCAATTCAGCCACAGACGTTGAAGACAGATCCCTTGAGTCCTCTAGTGATGAGATTTTAGCTTCGAACTTCTCAGGCAAGATGATAAGAACCTTTTCCACAATTCTCTTGTCACTTAACTCATCTCCCGAGAGTCTTATTTGATTCACAACCTTCATTAATCTGTCAGAATAATCTTTGACAGATTCAGTCTCCTTCATCTTCAGACTCTCAAACTCTCTTCTTAGGTTGAGCACTTTCATTTGTCTTGTTCTTGCATTTCCCCTAAACTCCTCTTGCAACCGATCCCAGGCCTCCTTTGCTGTCTCGCATGTGATGATTCTGGTGAAGATTGCATCAGATACGGCGGATTGAATGCAAGACAAAGCTTTAAACTTTTTTGCTACCTCCTCACCATGCTGTTTCAACTGAGGAATGGTTGGATTAGCTCTCAATGGTGGAGGTTCTGTTCCTGTTTCACTTATCTCCCACAAGCTATAAGCATTCAAGTATGCCTTCATTTTAGTAGCCCAAAAATCATAATTATCTCCTGTAAATGCAACAGGCAATAGTGCTGAGAAACCACTTGAGGCCATCACTCTTGAATCTTCAAATTTACTTGTTCGAGATATCACTGATTAGTTGAACCTTCAACCAGTTTTTTTTTGCTCCCTTCAAAGACCCTGAAGAGCTCTGATACCACTGTTAGCTTTACTCAGAACAAAGAAGAAGAAGCTGTCTTTTTTCTATATAATATTTGACCTTATGTATGAAGATATATTAAGCCATACCTTAGACCACCTAATCTATCAATTACACCCATACTTTGACTTGACAAGGTACTACACTTTGGTGACAAAAATAACCTTCAATAATGTCCAAAAATACATAATGGAAATGACAACAAAAGTGATAATATCAACACAAACAGGTCTTCCCTCACTGCCATTGCCTTTTTCTTTAACAAAATACGGTAATCAGATTTCAAAACTTAATGTTTTTCAATTCATTTTCAAATTGCTTATACATAATCCAAAAGTGCAGGCTATCATATCATCAAATGCCCAAAGAATAGATTACATATGTGAATAATCCCGGCTATGAGGCTGTAACAATTTCCAGACAATCATCTAGTATATAATGATAATGGAATTAAATTTCGAAATTACTTATTTGTTCAAATGCCCTAAATCTAGGGAAACGATATTTGCAGGTTATATAATCTTGAGTAGCGGATAGAACATCTCAATTCCCACATTTACTCATCTCCATTAATAAATAAATAAATAATAATCCTTTTGCTCTCAGTTCAGTTACATACACGAAAGAAAAATCAAGTCGGAAATGATTTATCTTTTGCCAAGTTAAATGACAAAACACAATAAAGGGATAATGTCTTCACTTCACTTCCGAATAAATTCCGTCTTGTCCGGAGTGAGATCGGCTAATCCTTCCCAGACTGTGGTCAAGTTCACTAACCGGGAGTTGTGTTGTAAAATTATTTATTGGGAGCAAGTTTATGTAGTTGACAAGTTAACATGATAAGCCATCACAACTTTTTATCTCAACTAATGCCCACACAGAGCATGACCTGAAGGAGTCATAGCCGATTTAAGAAGAAGAAAGAGTTAAGTTGACCACATCAATATAAAAGAAGTCACAAAGCATTACTAGTGGGAAGATTCTAGAGGAAACTTTTATTAAGCTTGTTTAATAACGAGGAGGTTAGGAAAATCAGAATGAATGTTCTAAAAGTAGCAAGTGGAATTAAAACCTCAATAATTAAAAATTGCACCACATGTAGGGGTGTCAATGAGTCGAGCTAAAACTCCTAGCTTTGGCTTGACTCAAGCTTTTTTAAAGCTAACTTTTTTTGGCCTGAGCTGAGCCAGCAAAAGCATTGCCAAAAAATTAAGGTTCAGCCCGAGCTTTCATCTCGAGCCTTACTGAGCCAAGCCGGCTTAGTTTTTCGTTTTTTTTTTTTATTATTATTTGATTTTTTTTCTCCCTCTTAGCTGCCAAACTGGCAGCAACTTGAGGTTTTTTTTTTTTTTTTTATGGGCCGGCCCCTGTGGCTCGATGGGTTGGCCTTGCCTGAGCCTTGGCTGGTGCCTCCAAGTCTCGAACTGGGTCAACTTGGGCTTTTTCGGGGTCGAGTCACGGATGGTCGGAGTCGACAAGCTCGATTGCCATCTCTAACCACATGGCAGACGTGCATGGAGTCATATTTTCAAGGGTAAGACTTGTGGAACATAGTTGACAATAGTTACATGATACCATTGAGGACGTGGGGCTCTAAAGAAATAGAAGATTAAAGTTAAACTGTGTTTGTTATAAAGATAATAATCGAGGAAGAATTATTGAAGTTCACAAGGGATAAAAAAATGCCAGAGGAAGCAAGGCACCCTACCCATCCCTATATACCCGCTTTGGTACAAAGATAACGTTCATGGTACTAGCTAATCATGGCAAAACCGACTTCAAGGACAAAGTTTCTGGGTTCACCTTGTACATGGCACATCCTAACGGCACCCAAGCAGTGTGGCATGCTAACCCTTGGCTTTGAAGGAAATCGTAATGCAGATTGAGGCAGAACTACAATCATGAGCTAGAAATTACCATATATTATGTTAATTTTTCAGGCAGGTCTACAAGTGGAGGTTGCTTTGATTGAGAATAATTTTAGGAAATAATGATTTAGGTAGTTCAAACGTGTTTTGCATAATTCTATAGAGGTTCTCGTTCATAAGAGTGATGTGATCTCAATAAAACAAGTGAGAAAGGTGTAAACCAAAACTAGCTGGCATGTCGTAGATGCTAATGGTCTATTGTTTTAGATCTCCTAGAAGAACTAGCAATGAATCAAACAGAGTGAAGAAAAAAAAATGGATTAGTGCAGTCAACTCCAAATTTATTAAGAATAAAGCTTTTCGTTTGTTTTGTAATACAGTATGCAGAAGGCTGGCTTAGTTCCTTTTTGTATTGAATTGAAAAGTATTAATCAATAACTACAAAGCACATATATTAGCCAAAAAAAAATTATAAGAGTAAGCAAACCAACAAAGTGCAAAATGGTTACACAGCATCACATGATCAGTGCAAAATGCAAAATGACAGAAACTCCTGAAGCTTAAGATGGTTTTCTCACATCTCCGTAAATGTAACGGCGAATGAACTACGTTTAGTTTATCTGAAGAAACTGAAATCAAGATCCAATGATGGCAGCGGTCAGATAGTCAGCAATTAGATCAAGAAATTACTTGATGAACATCAAGATCATCTCGAACATCAATCTCAATATGCTTTATTTGTGCATGGAATATGGGATTTCGTGCAAGACACCAGCTCCAATGATCACACCTATTGAGTGATTTCGGGTTTCTCAATATTGCTACTTAAAGAAACATTGTAAATGAACCAGACCCTTCTCCTGGGTCTTCTGTGATATATTGAACTTTATGCCTTCAGATTGTGAAATTCACTTGTAATAGGTATAAACTTTTATAGTATTATAGACTGTCTTAAGACTCACAGGAGTACAAAGTCATTACTAAAAGTATCTCAAAACCAACGAGTATTTAATGAATCCCAAAGCCCCTAATTTCGCACACAAGTCCAATCGATTACGCCCTCTAGGACCACCTGCTGCCCTTACTTGCCCCAACTAAGAGGAAACATGAGAAAGCTTGCACAGACTCTGGTATGTAAAGATTGGTTTAAATCTGTGTCTAATGTGGAAAAGATTGCCCCTGAATTTCATTTTTTCTCAGGATCTTACATAGCCAAGCACCTCTTCTAACACTATCTTGCAAAACTGGAGTACACGTCCAAACTAATCTAATAAAAAGGTTAAGATGACATTTTGCTGTCAATATTACGTATATTGGATCTTGTCATTCAAGTAAAGAGTGAACTGGTTCGACTTAGTCAACTCAGTTTGCCAATAGTTCTCGATGAAAGTCACACAAGCCAAAAGATCTAAAAAAGAGGCTCCAACCACAAGAAAAGATTATATAACTCACTGTCATTAGTACAATATATGTTTTCTGCTATGCTTAGTATCTAACATTACATTTCAAAGCAGTAAAGTATAAATCATCCATTCATGCTATTCCAAGTGCCAAATTTATATCCTGAAATGCAGTAAGGGGGACGTCCCATCAAGACCTTTAAAATACGAGTAGGATACATACTCCTGCACAGTTGTTTCTCTGTATTTTGGAGGATTATCCTCTGATATCAACTCCTTAATTGGTCCATACAGTTTGGTAGATGGTGCTAAAGAAGTGCTGAAAAAGCATGCCACTGATACTCTTGGCCCTTCGCGATTCGCCACTACTCTATGCTCAACACTTCTGAATTTATCGTTTGATATAAGCTGAAAGAAAATCCGATGACAAACAGAGTTAGATCAAAGACATAATTCATGCTGTTCATCATTTAATCCATTTCATCTTGCCAGTGATAAAGCCCTTTCCCAATTATGAAGGCAATATTAAATTAAACGAAATCAGAAACGCAAACAGGTAAACACATATAAATCTAAGAATGATTAAGCTCTACAAAAGATAATACATCCCTTGTGATATTACAATTTTATAGGTAAATTGAAGGTCCAAAATAAAATTGTAAAAAGATGTGCAGGGTGATCAACTTGCCTGTAAAAGGTCTCCAATATTTACCACAAGAGCACCAGGCACTGGACGAACATTAATCCACTGGTTTTCAAGAAAAACCTGAAGACCTCCAATTTGGTCTTGCAAAAGCACTGTGAGAAAGCCATCATCAGTATGTTTGCTTGCTCCTAAGGTCAATTCTGGCTCTGGACATGCTGGATAATAATGGCACACAAATGTAAGCCCGTTTGCGCAGTCCATATCCATCAGGTGGCTACGATCAAGTCCAAGAGCCTCGGAAAGTAGACCAAATAGTCGAAACCCCAAGCTCAATATGAGTTTTGAATATTCAATTTGTATGTCTCTGCATATCATAGATGGTGAAGTTACACATGAAATGGTCGACATCGAATAAGAAGTACTATTTTTTCTCTGGGACAGACTTCTCTGCAGTATTATATTAGCTACGTGATTTCAATAAACATAGCATTCAGTTGAATGGATTGAAAATGCTTTTATCAGTTGAAGAGAAAAAGTAGAATTGGAAAGAACGAAAATTCAAAGTGTTGATTATATGAGCTTAATCATACAATACACTAATGATCCCTTCAATTATTGACTCAATATTCCTATATAAAAAATTATGTAGGGGGGCATTTTCTGTGGATGTGAGATCTCTATTCCAGTCTTACTTTTCCTTCAAAAAATGAACTTCGGCTCAGGTGGACTAACTCCGGTGAGCCCACTGTAAATCTATGTGTTTGTGGCTGTGTGATTCGTTTTGCTTAATATTTCTCTCAAAATACCAGTCTTAATCCCTAACCCCAAGAAAATCAGAGAAGTTACGCTGCACATTAACGACGTTTTTGCCTAATTTTCATTACAAACCTGCATGCATCTGGCAATTCTTCTGGTTTCGGAGGATTTGGAGCCATAAAGCAGAAAAATGTGTCCCTCCAATTAGCTGCAGGTGAACTATACAAATCAAAGTTGCTATTATACACAATTTTTCTCGTAACATCGCGCGTATAGAATTGTTTCTTAACTTCAGTATCTTGTTCAAAAAACCTGCGTACGCCACAAACCATCTCGTCCAGTACACTAACTGGAATTCCATGATTAACCACCTGAAAAAATCCCCAAGTTTCTGAAGCATGCCTGATCTTCTCCACAATGGAATCCTTTTCACTACATTCGAGATCTATTACAGGAATACTAAAATCTTCCCTGTTTGTATCACCTGTCTGTGCAACAATATCCGGGGGCGTAACGAAAATTTGAGGGATTTTTTCGACTCCAGCATCAACAAGTCCCTTGACACCGGTTTTAGCATCGTCGAAAGCTTTTAAAACTCGTGCACGATCATATCCGGCAACCTCCATTTCCTTTTCTTTAATCAGAAGTAGTTGATTTATCAAACATGCTTACACTTTCTACATATTAAGATAGTTTTATTGAACTTAGACGCAACAGTTGACTTTTAAGATGATAGTGATTGTGGCCATATTTAGTTATTGAAATGGGCGGTCAAGATTCAAGCTTATTGATTTTTGCAGCCGCCCTCCATTATTTTTCCAGGCCTCCTTAAGAGCGAGATTATTTTAGAAAGAGTCCAAGTGCAAATTGAAGGATGAGACAGATTATGATGCTGATGGTATGATTTACTTGTCAAATTTTCCTATCCATCCAATTAATTCTTGACATGTGATCAATAATTAACGTGTTATATCAATTTTACCCTCATTAATTTTACCACTAAATTAATGGTGTGTCAAGAATTAATTAGATGGGCAACAAAATTGAACGACAGATCTTAACTCTACAAAGTGCAGTCTGGCAGAAGCATAGCTCACTAATTTCCAAACAAAAGCACGTAAATCAAAACAAAAATAAGAGAATTAATTCCAATCTAAGTCTCGTCTATGATTAATTTCCGAATAATAACCGAAAATTTGCAAAATATCCAAAAGGAAACAAGCGTATGCGAAAGAGTAACAAAGAAGACAGACGAAAATGAAGCAACCGTCGTAATGCAAATGGTACAATCTAACAAAAACTAGCAGTGTATTAACCAAAAATGAACTTGTCCGCGTCCTCTTAGTTTGTCTTTGATTTAGGGGCCTTCTTCTTTGGAGATCTCCTCGGCATTGAGTTCTTCATGCCAACGAAAAACAGCAGTGCCCCGAACAATGCCAGAGTCTGGCTAAACTTGACAAAGAGTTGGGCGAATTCTTTCTTGTCAGCATCGTAGTTGTAGAAGTCATACAAGATGGGTGCGGAAATTAACTGGTGCAGAAGCTGTGCAGGAGGCAAGAGAACTGTTTCTTACAATGGCCCAGTCGACATAGTAGTGAATAAAGAAAACAGGGACTAACAGCTTGTTCAGCTAAACTTTTAAAAAGTAAGATTTTGTAATAAATTTCAAAAGACTTTAAAAGACATGTTTGGCAAAAAAGTAACTTATAAGCTAAGAAAATAAGCTTTAGGTGTACCAGGATGACAGCTCCAAGCGAGCTTCCAAAGATGAACAGCAGGCTTCCGAGCCCCTTCATTATGATGGAACCCAAAATCAAGTGTTTCATCTGAGAATGAGAATATTCAAGTTACTGAAATTGTATCTTCCAAGGCTTGACACTGCAACCAAGTTGACTTCCTACATAAAATGAAATAAAAATAATGAAAGAAGTACTTACTTCAACATGTGGCACCACAAATCCAGTGTGGGTTGTGACATGCTTTGAGAAAACGTTGAACTTCGGCCTCAAAGACTTTGCCGCTGGCCCACCATCAACACCGAAATCATTGTACCTGCCAATGGAAACATACAGATTAAAATGGAAGAAGCAAAATATGTTCAGTATTCCACATAGATGTTATGTCAGTACATAGATCCAGAGGTCCAGATGCAGAACCTTCTTCACGTCATTTACAAATAAAATTACAAATCACCACAAAAGGTAACTAGTCAACTTAAACAAGCTCATGAGTAGAACTAGATTGAAGGACCTAGCACAAATTTTCATTAATGCATATATGAAACGTGTAAATTTGGTATTACTCCCGGAACCTTAAAACTGGTCAACTTAAACAAGCTCATGAGTAGAACTAGATTGAAGGACCTAGCACAAGTTTGCATTAATGCATATATGAATTAAGCATGTGTAAATTTGGTATTACTCCCGGAACCTTAAAATATTACACCAAGAGAACAGTGGATGTATCCCATGATCAAGTAACCACTCTAAATGTTTACATTATCGCATCCAAGTTATTATTTATTTAGACTTCAAGTAATTTGCCAAAGTTATTATGTTAATCAACAATTTAATAATCCCTCACCAAAAGAAGCATAGACTTATAATAGCAAGCAATTTAACCCAACAATTACCAACCTTCTCCACCCTTAAAATGCCTAACTGCATTAGTTAATAAAAAAGAATATCCAAACTGAATATTATCAACAGGCAATCCGGAAAGGTAAGGAAAAGAACTGCTTTTTTCGTTCCATATACTGAACACAAGATAACAAAACTTAGGAGTCCCAAAAGATATCAAACAGAAGGCAAAACGTAATGTATATATCTACTGGAGAGCATTACTCTTGATAAGTGGGGCATGAGTAACTCAAAAAATGAATGAAAAAACATCCCATTTTTATATAAACTAAAAGACATTAAAGAAAACAATCCTATGTGAATTGTATACCAAATCTTACAACTTAAAGCACAATATAAAAATATAGATAACTTTTAGGAAAACTGCACCAAAAAGGTTCCCATTCTATACTTAAATGAACACTTGGATCAGATATATTACGTGGTACTTGGATCTCCAACCTTGAATTTTTTGTAACACTTGGGGATTCAGAGACTATACCATCCAGATACATTAAAATTAATTGTACCCAAAGTGCTCATTTAAGTATAGTAGAGAAGTTCTCCAATTTTTATTCCCAGTCTCCTTAACCTATTTGTCTAGTTTTATAGTCCTTGCAATTACAATGCATGATTGAAATACATTCAATTTATTCAGAACAGGATAAATCTACAAAAAATTTAAGTAGCTCAAGATCCACACTGCTACAGTAAAGATCCAAAATAATACAACTCCTACAATAGTCAGAAATATCAGATATTCTGATTCATCTTTACAATGGCATAGTTACTGAAACATATATCAACGGAACTGAAATGCAGCACTTTGTGCAATCACAATTATACCCCCACACTGGCAATTATTTATCAATTAGATCCTCACACAGGTCAAATTTATATCACACGTTTTCATGTAAAAAATATATATAAAAAGTAGGTAAAATTTATAATTACTAAACAAATATAAGAGCAAAATGGAAATTTCAACTGAAACCAACAGCATCAGCCCTTAATCTCATCACTGAAGTATCTTTTTATTGCGTGAAAGGAAACAATTCAGTTAAATCAATGAAAACTAAACCTCAAGTGCAGTCTTTAATGTTACGTGATTAGCAACAAAAACATTCCAGAACCCTTTTAGATCCAATTTCACACAATAACACAGTTCAAACTTTACGCATACTTCACAATAATCCGAAATTATTACTGCAAGAAGCAAAAGAAACTGTTTCAATTTTCAAAGTTCAACAAAACCAAATCTAGAGAGCAGTCGTAAATTAGATCCAATTTTACACAATAGGAAACTTCAACTCTCCTACTCAAACAGTCGACAAATCCAAACTCACATTTACTTCACAAAGATACACGTAAACAACAAAAACCCAAAGATCCAAACATTTTCATATATATAAACAAGAAAATATCCAAACGTCTCACAAAAACGCAGATCCGAGTTAGAGAAAACGATATTCTTACTCTTGGTAAGCCGAGAGAATGAAGACAGAGACGAAGAGCACTCGACCGAGAAATGATATGAAAGCCATTGTTGCACGGACAGGGCCCCGAAATCTCTCTCCCTCTCTCTCTCTAAACAGAGTCTGTTACTCAGTCTAGATTTGAGGAATATAAAAAGACAGAGATTCAATTGGGCGAGATAAACTAGAGGCTTTACAATTGAGCAAAGAATGAGTGGGGTATTTATACTTGAGCAAAAAAAAAGATTATTTTGGGATTTTAAGTTAAAAAAAAAAAAAGGTTGAACCCCAACCTTAAGGGCCCCCACCGACCCTGTCCTGGGCCATCATGGAGGAGGTAAATCCCAGGATGTACCTCTCAGGAGCCAGGGTGGAGAGCACATGGATAGGCCAAGGCTGTTAACCCATATGGTAACTCCCGCTTGCAACAAAGTCAATTCCACCTTGCGGGGAATCGAACTCTGCACACTGCCGCGTTGAGCCCTATCTGCCCTCCCCTTTGCCACTGGGAGATATGGCCTGGGGGCTGGATTTTAAGTTAATTTTGACTTTTGGTGGAGTAATTTTTGGTTTGAAGGTGGAATTATGATTGTACATTTTGCTTTAGAAGTGTTGAATTACCCTTGAAGGTAAGATCAAAGAAGCACAAAATAAGAGTGAATTTTTAATATCAACTACGAGAATATGAAGTTCAAATATAAGGATGTTTTATTTTTGAGAGCCGCGTAATAATATTTGAAGAAATACGAGTCGAATTGTACAAAAGAGTTCTTGAAGTCTCATGAGCAATGATAATAACTTTATGCGCAGAATAAATATAACAAATAAAAAGAGAAAAAGAAAATCTTACTTGTTCGAATATTTCTATAAAATCTTAAATCGAGAATTTAAAAGTTGAAGGATTTATAGTTAGCTTGAAAACTTTTTGACATGGAAACATGAATGCCTTAAGGAAAAAAAATAAAAATAAATAAAACCAAAGTATCTACTTCTATCACTGTTTTTTGTAAATTTTTGTGAAGGTGTAAGAAATATTTCAATTGTATTCCAAAAAAATAAATAAATATTTCAATTATATATATGAGCCTGTTTAGAAATGATTTTGAGAATTGATTTTAACCGTTATCTATGAGAGAAAAAGTTAAATATGACGATTGGAATAGTGAAATGACAATCAAAAAAATAATTTTTTGGGGAAAAAAATCACTCTCAAACAAACTTTATATATATGGAAATGATAATCTAAGTATAAGTGTCAATGACATGACACGCCATTTAATTGGTGAATAAGTAATGATAGGGCTCAGCGCGGCAGTATGCAGAGTTCGATTCCCCGCAAGGTGGAATTGACTTTGTTGCAAGCGGGAGTTACCATATGGGTTAACAGCCTTGGCCTATTCATATGCTCTCCACCTTGGCTTCTGGGAGACACATCCTGCGATTTACCTCCTCCACGATGGCCCAGAGCAGAGTCGATGGGGGTCCCTAAGGTTGGGGTTCAACCTTTTTTATATTCGTCAAGGAGTTGTACACTGTGCTGCTCATATTATTTAAAGTTGAACGCGTAAACGCGGCAAGTTTGTTTAATGATCAAACTTTTACAGGCGCTCGACATTGATTGATAAATCGCTTTTGAATTGACACGCGGCACAAGAAACACGCCTAATCAACCAATCACAATACTCTCACAAGCTTCCTATCTGACAGGTCTATGTTTGGCATTCAATTTTTAAAAAACTCATTTTTGCAATGCTCATTTTGAATCATATATTTTTTATAAAATAATTTTACACGAAATTCTAAATTTTTTTTTATTTTTTAACTATATATTTTTCAATAAAATACATTTTGATGCAAAAATAGAGTTCAAACAAGGGTATAGTTGAACGCAATATTTACATGAGTTTGAGCACCCTTTTTTTGAAGAAAACATACGTATTATAATAATATTTTTTTAGTGAATATATGATTAAAAGTTTTAAAAAATTTAGTTTTACATGTAAAATTATTTTATCGAAAAAATGTATAACTGAAAATGAGTTTAAGAAAAAATAAATTTTGTAGAATAGGGCTCAATGAGGGACTTATATTCTCATCTTCCTTTATCGTGTCCCTATTGGGTATAAATTAAAATTTGATTTTAATTTGAAAACAAATTCAACAATTAATTTTAACCATGATTTTCAACCATACATTTCATCAATTTTTTTAAGAAATGTTTAAATCTTATTTTAATCTACATTAAATGGGGGTCATGTTTCTTATCATTAGGTTTTCATTAATCAACAGATCTGGTTTAAATGAGTACATTCATGTATTTTTTAAATGTTCATTGAAATGAAAAACAAATATTCTATCGTGCTCTAATATTTATTTCTTTCTTATTTAAAAATATTAGGGATAAATCTTTTTTTACATCCATCTAATGAACTTTTTTTAACGAAAAACATCATAAGGGAAAGTGTTTATTAAAAAAAAAAGAGATAAAAATGAGTTCACTACAATAAAAGCGGATTTTTACGGCATGAATTTGCAAGCCAATCCAAGTTGCACCTTGCCTTCCAAGAATAATCCTTGCCTTCCAAGAATAATCCTTGCCTTCCAAGAATAATCCTTGCCTTCCAAGAATAATCCTTGCCTTCCAAGAATAATCCTTGCCTTCCAAGAATAATCCTTGCCTTCCAAGAATAATCCTTGCCTTCCAAGAATAATCCTTGCCTTCCAAGAATAATCCTTGCCTTCCAAGTTCCCACTTGCCTTCCAAGAATAAATCCTTGCCTTCCAAATGTTCCCTTGCCTTCCAATAATAAATTCTTGCCTTCCAAGAGTCCCATGTTTCGAACTCACGACCTCTGCTCTGCCAGGTTTGACAGCGTCCGTCCTTTGCCAGTGGAGAAGTGCCCTGGGGGGCAAGCTCGTCATTTGTTGAACTTATGTATGTTGGTTGAGGGAATGGAAAGTATATGTTACATTGATTGGTACATTTTGTTTATATGATAAATGTTTGGGTTACTTTTTTTCATCTAAGCTTAGAATAATTAATTAACTTAATATTGTTTATCATGCTAGCTCGTACTCAAAATTATTTTAATTTTCATCTTAGTTGAGTTGAAATATGATTTGTGTAATTATTATAGGTGCTGGTAGTCAAATAAATAAACAGATCTTTAAAAATTAAATTAACATTTACGACGTGCAAAGGCACGCCGTAAATGCTAATAGAGTCATCGCATGCCATAAAAAATCGTATAACTAATAACAGCATTTGTAAACGGCGTACATTGCACGCCATAAAAAGTTTACGGCACTATTTTATACTGTGTGTGGCCGAATGCCGTGAAGGTGTTTTTATGGTGTACAATGCACGCTATAAAAAGTCCTATTTGTTGTAGTGGTTGTGGAAAAGTAATTAATAAATGTTAGTTTTAAGAAAATGTATGGATAAAGAGTGATTTAATCAATAATGTTTATATATACTTCCAAAACATAGGCTTACAAACTGAAAAGTAAATTTTTTTATTTTACCGAGTTTGTTACATGTACATAAAGATTTACATAAAAGATTAAAGAATGCTACATGAGCGACCATTTACTCGTTTAAACCACAATCAACTTTTTTGTCTAATTTCTTGCCTCCACATTAACCACCTGTAAATCATTTTGATGTACAAGTAGCAAAATATTTGTTTCACTACAATATGGTAAGTAAATCACTAAATTGACAATTATGATTGCAGAAAGATTCCATATAAAAAAATAGATGACTTTGATTCTATTAAAAAAGCTTCATGAAAAAGGTTAACCAAAATATAGAAAGTTGCAACGAAATTCCTCCATAATTCTATAAGATCAATTAGATTTAGTCCTTATATGGTAGAAATTAAAATATAGATTTCAATCTAAGTCAAAATAAATAAATAATTTTAACATATTTTAAGGGATTTATAACTTTTTAATCATACATTTTCATTAATTTTTCTTTTTTCTAAATCTGTTAAAATTTTAATTTTAATCCCTACTAAATACGAGCTTAATGTTTATGTCAATTTATAAGTAGACCAGTTAATTTTGTTCAATTGAAGTGGCAATTGGTGGGCTGTGGGTTACCAATTCCAATTCCAATTCCAATTCCAACTCTTCCTTAAAGTCTAATGACCAATACATGAGAGTTGAATCCATAAATTAATTTGGCTAAAATCTATACTTTAGTCACTAAGCCCATATTTGGTTCCCATTATTTATTCATTAAAATGAAAAATATGACCGTTATCCATCACATCAAGCCACCAAATTTAAATTTCTATCATTGTGTAGGGTCCGTACGACTATATTTTTCATTTTCATTCTTCCGAAAATGAGAAACAAACGGAGACTAAATTAGTTCTCACATTTAAAAAAGCAACTTGGTTTCTACATTGTCAAAAAAAGAAAAACGAGGATAAAATTGATCTCAGTCATTCGTTATGGGACAATCAATTTTCACCATATAAACTGTTCAAATCGTTATTAAATTATGAAATGATAATCAAATATTGTTTTCTAAATTGGACGTATACCTCAAAGTTTAATAAGATAATTGTTTCTAGAGAATCATGCAACAATCTAATGAAGATTGAAGTTTTGTTATAAAAACTAGCCGTGTAACTATAATAAAAGGTTAAGACTAACTCATAATTCTAATAAGAAGTTTGAGGTCAAAGATGCAATTTCTCCAAATAAAATTTCTAGTCAATCTATTCTTACGTCAAAAGTGAATACTGAATAATAAAAGTTTATTTTCTATTTTTTTAACAAAGAGAAAATCTGACTTTTCTTCGTAATATCTCAAATTCTTCTCCATTATTCCATCATGCGGGGTCGTCCATTGACTTTGACCTACCAATAAGGTAAGACATTGCCGTGATTCACTAAGGGGGGTGTCCTCAATCTAGAGTTTAATGGATTTTAAAACTCCATATAAATTGAAGTATCCTCAATTCATATTTAAATATAATTCATTAAAATATAGGTGTCCCCAATCTAGATTTTTAAAAATATTTATAAACTTAGGTGTCCTCAACATAGATTTTAATAGGTAGTTTTGAAATTTAGATGTCCTCATAACTGGTTGATTTTAAAAGATTTTATTAAGTAGATAGATTTTGAAGGATTTCAAGGTAAAAATATAAGTACAAAGAATTAGTAACAATTTTAACTCAAACCTAAAAAT